TCTTGAAGGAGATATTAAATATATCAACACATAATAGAACACGAAACATTGGATATAAATTGGATAAGTTTAGATTTCGGTAAGAACTGGGTAAATACTGGTTCGGTAACAAGGTTGTTGATTTATGGAACCAATTATCGCATAACATGATAGATGTAAGATCCCTTGATTGTTTCAAGTGCAGGTTAGACATATATATGAATGGGTTTGGGTGGATAGAAGTAGGAGCAATACCACGTGTGGGCCAATGGGCTTTCTGCAGTTACCTTGATTCTTATGTTCATAAGTTTATTATTATTTTAATTATTTTCTACCACAGACGTGGCCAGACATTTACAATGCTAACCAGCATATACATACATTTTCTTCTGTCCTCCATGGACAAGGTTAGAGATCTGTTAAACTGTTTATATGTGCATGAAGTGTTTCCCTTCACCTCATGGATAGTAATCTGATAATCTCCCCCCCCCCCCTCGCTCTGTCTGTCACTCTTTCCCTCCCTCTCTCCCTCTCTCTCTCCCCCTTTCTCCCTCCCTCCCTCCCCCTCAGATCACCACCACCCCGTTCAGAGAGAGAATAGTTTAGTCTTAAAACATTTCAATCACACACCCCCTCCTTTTGAACTTACATTTACCTTACCCTCTCCGATAACCCTACCTCACCCCCCACACCCCTCCTTACCCTCTCACCCCCTCCCCACACCCTCTCCCCACACCCTCTCCTCCCTACCCACACACCCTCCCCTCCCCACACCCCTCCTTACCCTCTCCTCCCTCACACACACCCTCCCTACCCACACCCCTCCCCCCACACCCTCCCTTCCCACACCCTCCCTTCCCACACACCCCTCCCCACACCCCCCTCCCCACACCCCTCCCACACACCCCCTCCCCACACCCTCCCTTTACGATCACAGTTCCAATTTACCTTTGATGGTAAAAGGAAACTGTTCTCTCGTCTATCATCCACTCTCCCTTTATTGATCTGCGTCCCTTCCTATTCCCGGATTATCCCCCCCCCATGTCTATCCTTAGTCCCAGGGCTACCCTCTCAGGGCTACCCTCTCAGGGCTACCCTCTCAGGGCTACCCTCTCAGGGCTACCCACTCAGGGCTACCCTCTCAGGGCTACCCTCTCAGGGCTACCCTCTCAGGGCTACCCTCTCAGGGCTACCCTCTCAGGGCTAATCTTGGCCAAGATAAAAGTTATAGCTAATAAAGAAGATACTAAATGGCGAAGAAGAGTTAGACACTAATTTCCGTCCGGTTATGGATAATCCGTTGGCAAGAGTTTCCCGTTAACCGGCCATCAGTCACCGATCCCGATCTCAGCCTCCACCACCGCGGCCCTGCCATCACAGTCTGATGGATCATCAACTTGGCCAACCTTTAAATACCACCAGAAATATATAATTTTCGGTGGTATTTATGTATTTCCCAGTCTGTATCAGGACTCTGTGGGGGGGGGGGGGGCTGTCTAGGATACCTGGGAGATGGGGATGCTGTAGAGCTGATACCTGGGAGATGGGGATGCTGTAGAGCTGATACCTGGGAGATGAGGATGCTGTAGAGCTGATACCTGGGAGATGAGGATGCTGGGGATGATGTAGAGGTGACAATGCTGATGCTGCACTCACTCTCCCTCACCCCTCATAAGAGCTCTCACACATAAATAACTCACAAGGAGTCTATAAGACTCGAGACTCCTCGAAGCGCTGTAACACCCATGACCCCTTCCCCATGGGTCATGACCCCTTCCCTCTATCACCCAGGGTAGTCTTATCCAAGAGGTCAGCCCAGATGACCTCTGGATCATCTTGCACGTTGATTAAAAATTCCTGGGTTAGTCTTAGTTACTTTCAAGTATGTAATATTTCATGATACTCTTGTCAAACACAGTAATGGAATTAGACCCCAGATTCTTATGTGTAAACATCCATGGATTTCCCCCTTTTAGCCAAGTCTGAGGTCAGCCATACTCGTAATTAATAATTCCTCTCTTGAAGATGTGTATGGTGTCTGTTAAACATCTTAATGGCAAATTTATCGAGTGTTTGTGCACGTGTGGGGAACACCTCTTGCATCCTCAATGTAGGGGTAGCAACAGCAAATCTCCTCCCCCCCTTTTTTTGTGTGTGTATATATGCCCCTGTATGAGAGTTAGACGAGTGTGTGTGTCGGACACCAGGGTCCAGAGTGGGTCTGTGAAGAACATCACACAGCCAGGGAGAGACGGAGTGAATCCGCCTGATGGAGAGACAGAGGTCTTAAGGTAAAGTGTGATCTCTGATGGTATTGTTCCATGTCTAAATTAACATTGGCCAGTGTTAGAGTAGGAGTTTATAGTTGGTGAATATCATATTTTGTTCTCAATAAACTCATGTTAAACTTTCCGTCTGTGTCAATTGTTGAATCCTCTTAGCCTCTGGATATAGTTTGCTAACACCCGTCCTGTAATTACTGACAGTTAAAGAAAGAGGACTCTCCAAATCAAGCAATCTTTCTTGGCTCATTGCTTGATATAGTTAATGGACAAGGCAGACGGTGGCAGCGTAGTTAATCCTGTGTAGCATTTCCTTGGAAGGGTACCTTTGGTTCCGGTGTAACCATCAGTGGTACATCATATGGCACTTCATATTACGTTAAATATAAACACAGTGCTCAATAACATAGTGATACCAAGTGCAACCAGTAAGAAGTGTTACTCAGTATATATATATTAGTATTCCTCAGGCTACTCTCTACTCCCCACTTATTCTCTCCTCCTGCTCCTTCCTACCCCTTCTCAGTATCTCCCTCTCTCTTTTCTCTTCCTCCTCTCCTACCTTCACGCTTCCCGTGCGCCCCTCGTTTTCTGTTGCCCCACAGACGAGTTCCCCCTCCCCATCCACGTTTTCTAAATCTTTCCTTTCCTCCATCCCTCAATCCCTTATTCCTACCGCCCTTCCTCTATTTTACTTTTCACCATCAAGTATAGTCTAGGATACAATAATTTTAGTTGACAACGTTAGTAGTGTTACATTATTAGTGGTACTTTATAGTGATGTTACAGCGCTCAGCGTGCTGCAACAGGGGAAGAGGGAATTGCCCTCTTGGCCTGCAATATTATAATTCCCAACATTTTGAAAAATGTGCAACATGGATGTGTGAGTTTGAAGATTAAGCTTCAGCTCCCGAGACTGTCAGGTTCTTGGGGTCTCTTCCATGGTGCCTGGAGTCCCAGGTGACGCAGATTGTAACGCAGCACGACACAGATTGTAATGCAGCGTGACGCAGATTGTAACACAGCGTGATGCAGACTCTGACGCAGCGTGATGCAGATTGTAACACAGCGTGACACAGATTGTAACGCAGCGTGACACAGACTGTAACACAGCGTGACACAGACTGTAACACAGTGTGACACAGATTGTAACGCAGCGTGACACAGACTGTAACACAGCGTGACACAGACTGTAACACAGCGTGACACAGATTGTAACACAGCGTCACAGACTGTAACACAGCGTGACACAGACTGTAACGCAGCGTGACACAGACTGTAACACAGCGTGACACAGACTGTAACGCAGCGTGACACAGACTGTAACGCTGCGTGACACAGATTGTAACACAGCGTGACACAGATTGTAACGCAGCGTGACGCAGATTGTAACGCAGCGTGACACAGATTGTTACGCAGCGTGACACAGATTGTAATGCAGCGTGACACAGATTGTAATGCAGCGTGACACAGATTGTTACGCAGCGTGACACAGATTGTAACACAGCGTGACGCAGATTGTAACGCAGTGTGACACAGATTGTAACACAGCGTGACGCAGATTGTAACGCAGCGTGACGCAGATTGTAACGCAGCGTGACAGACTGTAACACAGCGTGACACAGATTGTAACACAGCGTGACACAGATTGTAACGCAGCGTGACACAGACTGTAACACAGCGTGACACAGACTGTAACACAGCGTGACACAGATTGTAACACAGCGTGACACAGTAGCACAGCGTCACAGACTGTAACACAGCGTGACACAGATTGTAACGCAGCGTGACACAGACTGTAACACAGCGTGACACAGACTGTAACACAGCGTGACACAGACTGTAACACAGCGTGACACAGATTGTAACACAACATGACACAGATTGTAACACAGCGTCACAGACTGTAACACAGCGTGACACAGATTGTAACACAACATGACACAGATTGTAACACAGCGTCACAGACTAACACAGCGTGACACAGACTGTAACGCAGCGTGACAGATTGTAATGCAGCGTGACACAGATTGTAACGCAGCGTGACACAGATTGTAACACAGCGTGACACAGATTGTAACGCAGCATGACACAGATTGTAACGCAGCGTGACACAGATTGTAACGCAGCGTGATACAGATTGTAACGCAGCATGACACATTGTAACGCAGCGTGACACAGATTGTAACGCAGCGTGTCACAAATTGTAACGCAGCGTGACACAGATTGTAACGCAGCGTGACACAGATTGTAACGCAGCGTGACACAGATTGTAACACAGCATGACACAGATTGTAACACAACGTAACACAGACTGTAACAAAGAAAATTAGTTACCATACTCTCTATATTTCAAACCATCGATTGTGGTAATTTTTAACCTGCTGACTTACCAAAATAAGGATCAAACTACTAACATAATAGACAACTTAGCTGTTACACGGTGCTACGGGCTCACCATAGCCCGTGCTACTTGGACCTTTTCGTCCCAGGTAGCGAACCTTAAACAACAGCAGTTATACAGTGACAGTGGTCACTATCCAGTGGTCACTATCCAGTGGACACTATCCAGTGGTCACTATCCAGTGGTCACTATCCAGTGGTCACTATCCAGTGGTCACTATCCAGTGGTCACAATCCAGTGGTCACAATCCAGTGGACACTATCCAGTGGTCACTATCCAGTGGTCACAATCCAGTGGACACTATCCAGTGGTCACTATCCAGTGGTCACTATCCAATGGTCACTATCCAGTGGTCACCATCCAGTGGTCACTATCCAGTGGTCACAATCCAGTGGACACTATCCAGTGGTCACTATCCAGTGGTCACTATCCAGTGGTCACTATCCAGTGGTCACTATCCAGTGGTCACCATCCAGTGGACACTATCCAGTGGTCACTATCCAGTGGTCACAATCCAGTGGACACTATCCAGTGGTCACTATCCAGTGGTCACAATCCAGTGGACACTATCCAGTGGTCACTATCCAGTGGTCACTATCCAATGGTCACTATCCAGTGGTCACCATCCAGTGGTCACTATCCAGTGGTCACTATTCAGTGGTCACCATCCAGTGGACACTATCCAGTGGTCACTATCCAGTGGTCACAATCCAGTGGACACTATCCAGTGGTCACTATCCAGTGGTCACTATCCAATGGTCACTATCCAGTGGTCACCATCCAGTGGTCACTATCCAGTGGTCACTATTCAGTGGTCACCATCCAGTGGACACTATCTAGTGGCCACTATCCAGTGGTCACCATCCAGTGGTCACTATCCAGTGGTCACTATCCAGTGGTCACCATCCAGTGGTCACCATCCAGTGGTCACCATCCAGTGGTCACCATCCAGTGGTCATCATCCAGTGGACACTAACCAGTGGACACTATCCAGTGGTCACTATCCAGTGGTCACCATCCAGTGGTCACTATCCAGTGGTCACTATCCAGTGGTCACTATCCAGTGGTCAATATCCAGTGGTCACTATCCAGTGGTCACCATCCAGTGGTCACTATCCAGTGGTCACTATTCAGTGGTCACCATCCAGTGGACACTATCCAATGGCCACTATCCAGTGGTCACCATCCAGTGGTCACTATCCAGTGGTCACCATCCAGTGGTCACCATCCAGTGGTCACCATCCAGTGGTCACCATCCAGTGGTCATCATCCAGTGGACACTATCCAGTGGTCACTATCCAGTGGTCACCATCCAGTGGTCACTATCCAGTGGTCACTATCCAGTGGTCACTATCCAGTGGTCACTATCCAGTGGTCACCATCCAGTGGTCACCATCCAGTGGTCACTATCCAGTGGTCACTATCCAGTGGTCACTATCCAGTGGTCACCATCCAGTGGTCACCATCCAGTGGTCACCATCCAGTGGTCACCATCCAGTGGTCACTATCCAGTGGTCACTATCCAGTGGTCACTATCCAGTGGTCACCATCCAGTGGTCACTATCCAGTGGTCACCATCCAGTGGTCACCATCCAGTGGTCACTATCCAGTGGTCACTATCCAGTGGTCACCATCCAGTGGTCACTATCCAGTGGTCACCATCCAGTGGTCACCATCCAGTGGTCACTATCCAGTGGTCACCATCCAGTGGTCACCATCCAGTGGTCACCATCCAGTGGTCACCATCCAGTGGTCACCATCCAGTGGTCACTATCCAGTGGTCACTATCCAGTGGTCACCATCCAGTGGTCACCATCCAGTGGTCACTATCCAGTGGTCACCATCCAGTGGTCACTATCCAGTGGTCACTATCCAGTGGTCACTATCCAGTGGTCACTATCCAGTGGTCACTGGGACACTGTTGCTTCCTTCATGGTGGAGTGTATCTGTTGTGTGTGTGTTGCCCAAGCGGCTCCGTCTGAGGGAGGCTGCAGCAGGACTCGTGGTGCCGTCATTTACCTGTTGGAGGAAAAACGCCACATTACCACTTGGTAACAACATAACAATATGTGTAATGCAGCACCACTGAGACGGTGACCAATTACTTAAGTCTATCCTTTTGATCTGGTATCTTGGGCCACATATGTATTATATTACAAATAATGACAAGATTATTTAATTCTTTATTAATATTAATTTATCTATTACATTTGTATACTTTAATTTGTCTTAAAGCAATTGTAATATATCACATATTTGTTAAATATGATTAACCTAGTTAGAATATTTTTATTTTAGTTGCAAGTAATTTACTTATTGAGGTGGGCTCGTAAGCTCATGGTGTAACCGCACCTGCAATTAATGGGGTTAGTGGCACACCTGCAATTAATGGGGTTAGTGGCACACCTGCAATTAATGGGGTTAGTGGCACACCTGCAATTAATGGGGTTAGTGGCACACCTGCAATTAATGGGGTTAGTGGCACACCTGCAATTAATGGGGTTAGTGGCACACCTGCAATTAATGGGGTTAGTGGCACACCTGCAATTAATGGGGTTAGTGGCACACCTGCAATTAATGGGGTTAGTGGCACACCTGCAATTAATGGGGTTAGTGGCACACCTGCAATTAATGGGGTTAGTGGCACACCTGCAATTAATGGGGTTAATGGCTTTCCTTTCAAACAGTGTGTGAACACTTAAATCAGTTTCATTTGTAATTTGCACCACTAACCAAAGGTCCAGTGTTGTAAAACTGCTAAAACTAAGCGTGTACGACCGTGGAGTGTAACCATGTTGGGTGTAGTTATGTGTTTACTGTGTGTGAGGGAGTGTGGCGTCGGTGCTGTGGCGTCGGTGTTGTGGCGTCGGTGTTGTGGCGTCGGTGTTGTGGCGTCGGTGTTGTGGCGTCGGTGTTGTGGCGTCGGTGCTGTGGCGTCGGTGTTGTGGCGTCGGTGTTGTGGCGTCGGTGTTGTGGCGTCGGTGTTGTGGCGTCGGTGTTGTGGCGTCGGTGTTGTGGCGTCGGTGTTGTGGCGTCGGTGTTGTGGCGTCGGTGTTGTGGCGTCGGTGTTGTGGCGTCGGTGTTGTGGCGTCGGTGTTGTGGCGTCGGTGTTGTGACGTCGGTGTTGTGACGTCGGTGTTGTGGCGTCGGTGCTGTGGCGTCAGTGTGTCCACACACTCCTCTCACTGTTTATGGTGGAAATTTTACATATCGATTTCTAATGCAATAAAGTTATAACTTGAGAATAAGTTGAGAAAGGTTGGCATTCCAGTTTACCAGCAGACTATTACTGGAACAGTAATATGCTCTCAGACCATCACAAATATCTAGATTACTATCCAGGTGGTGTGAGAGTGGGGTTGGCGTCTCCATGTAATCTTTTTACCCTGGAAGGACTAGCTGGTTGCTGCTACGCCAGCTGTCTAGCACTCGAAGGTACACACTCAGATGCTTGTGTACCTGTTTTCATGTTCTGTTAAAGGGTCGTTTTTGTGTGTGTGTGTGGAGAAAGGGAGGCTGTATTTTATCTTGCACTTATGTGCTGTGGGGCTGGGGTTACACTGAATATATCGAGGCTCTTGGGCCACCAGCTGTGAGAGTGGGGCGTCTCATCTTGGGCCACCAGCTGTGGGAGCGGGGCGTCTCATCTTGGGCCACCAGCTGTGGGAGCGGGGCGTCTCATCTTGGGCCACCAGCTGTGGGAGCGGGGCGTCTCATCTTGGGCCACCAGCAGTGGGAGTAGGGCCTCTGATCTTGGGCCACCAGCTGTGGGAGCGGGGCGTCTCATCTTGGGCCACCAGCTGTGGGAGCGGGGCGTCTCATCTTGGGCCACCAGCTGTGGGAGTAGGGCCTCTGATCTTGGGCCACCAGCTGTGGGAGCGGGGCGTCTCATCTTGGGCCACCAGCTGAGGGTGTAGGGGGTGAGGGTGTAAGCGGGGTGAGGGTGCAGGGGCCAGGAGGGTGCAGGGGCCAGGAGGGTGTAGGGGCCAGGAGGGTGTAGGGGCCAGGAGGGTGTAGGGGCCAGGAGGGTGGTAGGGGCCAGGAGGGTGTAGGGGCCAGGAGGGTGTAGGGGCTAGGAGGGTGGTAGGGGCCAGGAGGGTGTAGGGGCCAGGAGGGTGTAGGGGCCAGGAGGGTGTAGGGGCCAGGAGGGTGTAGGGGCCAGGAGGGTGTAGGGGCCAGGAGGGTGTAGGGGCCAGGAGGGTGTAGGGGCCAGGAGGGGCGGGATATTAGTGTTCCCGCGTCAGAGGCATCAAAGAAGGGGACGCGGACACGGAGCTTCGTAATTTGAAGTGAAGCGAGGCGTGGACGGCCCCTCTCCGGTGTGAGCCCTTACACCGGTATTGGTCCAGGGCCACCAGTCAGGGCCAGCTAGGGCCACCAGCCAGGGCCACCAGCCAGGGCCACCAGCCAGGGTCAGCCAGTGTCAGACCACCACCACCAGCAGCACCACGGGGCTGGCCTCCAGTGTGGCCTCGGGGTCCTCCAGTGTGGCCTCGGGGGGCCCTCCAGTGTGGCCACGGGGGGCCCTCTAGTGTGGCCTCGGGGGGCCCTCTAGTGTGGCCTCGGGGGGCCCCCCAGTGTGGCCTCGGGGGGCCCTCCAGTGTGGCCTCGAGGGGCCCTCCAGTGTGGCCTCGGGGGGCCCTCCAGTGTGGCCTCGGGGGGCCCTCCAGTGTGGCCTCGGGGGGGCCCTCCAGCGGGGCCTCGGGGGGGCCCTCCAGCGGGGCCTCGGGGGGCCCTCCAGCGGGGCCTCGGGGGGCCCTCCAGCGGGGCCTCGGGGGGGCCCTCCAGCGGGGCCTCGGGGGGGCCCTCCAGCGGGGCCTCGGGGGGGCCCTCCAGTGTGGCCTCAGGGCCCTCCAGTGTGGCCTCAGGGCCCTCCAGTGTGGCCTCGGGGCCCTCCAGTGTGGCCTCGGGGCCCTCCAGCGGGGCCACGGGGCACTCCACACACGCTCCTCAAGCCTCTCAAGGATCAGTGAACGCCATAAACAATATCAGTAAATCAACAGATTTATATTAATCAATTAAATCACGACAATAAAACCCACATAAAACATTACATGTTTTCTCACAAAGTTATTTTAAATACACATGGGTAAATACACATGTATAATGTAACGTCCATAAATCATGTGTTTCTGGCAGCCTGTCGGGCCAGGGTCGGAGGCCAGATGCTTGGGGCGAGATTCACCCAACTTTGCACAGTGGCTGCTGAGGGGTTGATGACCAACATGGGTAGATAACGGTCGGCCCCATTGCTTCCATTAAAAGTTCGGCGGTTCAAATGGCGACCGCCATGAAGATGTTAACTATTCAAACTATTCAAAATAATATGTTTTTATTGGTATACTGTAAAACATTACGCACTGATGTTGGAGGAAAAAATCTACTTGCAATCGAATCTTGTGACGACCACAGTTGCACCAGTCATCATTGGGCAGCGTCACTCATCCTGTGAGTGGACACACCGCCATAGTGACAGTATTGGGCAGCGCCACTCATCCTGTGAGTGGACACACCGTCATAGTGACAGTATTGGGCAGCGTCACTCATCCTGTGAGTGGACACACCGCCATAGTGACAGTATTGGGCAGCGTCACTCATCCTGTGAGTGGACACACCGCCATAGTGACAGTATTGGGCAGCGTCACTCATCCTGTGAGTGGACACACCGCCATAGTGACAGTATTGGGCAGCGCCACTCATCCTGTGAGTGGACACACCGCCATAGTGACAGTATTGGGCAGCGCCTCTCATCCTGTGAGTGGACACACCGCCATAGTGACAGTATTGGGCAGCGTCACTCATCCTGTGAGTGGACACACCGCCATAGAGACAGTATTGGGCAGCGTCACTCATCCTGTGAGTGGACACACCGCCATAGTGACAGTATTGGGCAGCGCCACTCATCCTGTGAGTGGACACACCGCCATAGTGACAGTATTGGGCAGCGTCACTCATCCTGTGAGTGGACACACCGCCATAGTGACAGTATTGGGCAGCGCCACTCATCCTGTGAGTGGACACACCGCCATAGTGACAGTATTGGGCAGCGCCTCTCATCCTGTGAGTGGACACACCGCCATAGTGACAGTATTGGGCAGCGTCACTCATCCTGTGAGTGGACACACCGCCATAGTGACAGTATTGGGCAGCGCCACTCATCCTGTGAGTGGACACACCGCCATAGTGACAGTATTGGGCAGCGCCTCTCATCCTGTGAGTGGACACACCGCCATAGTGACAGTATTGGGCAGCGTCACTCATCCTGTGAATGGACACACCGCCATAGTGACAGTATTGGGCAGCGTCACTCATCCTGTGAGTGGACACACCGCCATAGTGACAGTATTGGGCAGTGCCACTCATCCTGTGAGTGGACACACCGCCATAGTGACAGTATTGGGCAGCGCCTCTCATCCTGTGAGTGGACACACCGCCATAGTGACAGTATTGGGCAGCGCCACTCATCCTGTGAGTGGACACACCGCCATAGTGACAGTATTGGGCAGCGCCTCTCATCCTGTGAGTGGACACACCGCCATAGTGACAGTATTGGGCAGCGTCACTCATCCTGTGAGTGGACACACCGCCATAGTGACAGTATTGGGCAGCGCCACTCATCCTGTGAGTGGACACACCGCCATAGTGACAGTATTGGGCAGCGCCACTCATCCTGTGAGTGGACACACCGCCATAGTGACAGTATTGGGCAGCGCCACTCATCCTGTGAGTGGACACACCGCCATAGTGACAGTATTGGGCAGCGCCACTCATCCTGTGAGTGGACACACCGCCATAGTGACAGTATTGGGCAGCGCCTCTCATCCTGTGAGTGGACACACCGCCATAGTGACAGTATTGGGCAGCGTCACTCATCCTGTGAGTGGACACACCGCCATAGTGACAGTATTGGGCAGCGCCACTCATCCTGTGAGTGGACACACCGCCATAGTGACAGTATTGGGCAGCGCCACTCATCCTGTGAGTGGACACACCGCCATAGTGACAGTATTGGGCAGCGCCACTCATCCTGTGAGTGGACACACCGCCATAGTGACAGTATTGGGCAGCGCCACTCATCCTGTGAGTGGACACACCGCCATAGTGACAGTATTGGGCAGCGTCACTCATCCTGTGAGTGGACACACCGCCATAGTGACAGTATTGGGCAGCGCCACTCATCCTGTGAGTGGACACACCGCCATAGTGACAGTATTGGGCAGCGTCACTCATCCTGTGAGTGGACACACCGCCATAGTGACAGTATTGGGCAGCGCCACTCATCCTGTGAGTGGACACACCGTCATAGTGACAGTATTGGGCAGCGTCACTCATCCTGTGAGTGGACACACCGCCATAGTGACAGTATTGGGCAGCGTCACTCATCCTGTGAGTGGACACACCGCCATAGTGACAGTATTGGGCAGCGTCACTCATCCTGTGAGTGGACACACCGCCATAGTGACAGTATTGGGCAGCGTCACTCATCTTGTGAGTGGACACACCGCCATAGCAGCATGTCCAACACTCCCCAATAGGAAGAAAACCCGCAGTCATACACAACATGTTATAGACTTCCTTCAAGCACTCGAGGTTAGGTGCTCGACACCTCCCTCGACACTCCGACAATACTCGACGCTGCCAAGAGTAAACCCGAGGAATATACCTTCTTTTTCTTTTAGTAAACAATGAAGAAGAAAATGCTATTGGGCAGGTTTTTCGTGGCCCAAGACAGCAAAAACCATGGACATGTGCAAGCCGTAAATTGCAGTTAACATTGAGGATGTGTTTGGCTGTGGCGGGAACTATCCATTACAGCGTGATGCTGCCCAGTGTCAACATGGCGGCCAAGGATAGTCATGGGTCAGTACACACGCTGCCTGTGTCACCCAGCCTGCAACACTACCCCCCCCCCTCCCTCACTCTGCCTGTGTCACCCAGCCTGCAACACTACCCCCCCCCCCTCCCTCACGCTGCCTGTGTCACCCAGCCTGACACACTACCCCCTCCCTCCCTCACGCTGCCTGTGTCACCCAGCCTGCAACACTACCCCCCCCCTCCCTCACGCTGCCTGTGTCACCCAGCCTGACACACTACCCCCCCCTCACGCTGCCTGAGTCACCCAGCCTGACACACTACCCCCTCCCTCACGCTGCCTGTGTCACCTAGTCTGTAACAATACCACCCCCCTCACGCTGCCTGTGTCGCCCTGCCTGCAACACTACCCCCCCCCCTCACGCTGCCTGTGTCACCCAGCCTGACATACTACCCCCTCCCTCACGCTGCCTGTGTCACCCAGCCTGACACACTACCCCCTCCCTCACGCTGCCTGTGTCACCCAGCCTGACACACTACCCCCTCCCTCACGCTGCCTGTGTCACCCAGCCTGACACACTACCTCCCTCCCTCCCTCACGCTGCCTGTGTCACCCAGCCTGACACACTACCCCCCTCCCTCACGCTGCCTGTGTCACCCAGCCTGACACACTACCCCCCTCCCTCACGCTGCCTGTGTCACCCAGCCTGACACACTACCCCCCCTCACGCTGCCTGTGTCGCCCAGCCTGACACACTACCCCCCCCCCCTCACGCTGCCTGAGTCACCCAGCCTGACACACTACCCCCTCCCTCACGCTGCCTGTGTCACCTAGTCTGTAACACTACCACCCCCCTCACGCTGCCTGTGTCGTCCAGCCTGACACACTACCCCCTCCCTCACGCTGCCTGTGTCACCCAGTCTGTAACACTACCACCCCCCCTCACGCTGTCTGTGTCACCCAGCCTGACACTCTACCCCCCCCTCACGCTACCTGTGTCGCCCAGTCTGTAACACTACCACCCCCCCCCCTCACGCTGTCTGTGTCACCCAGCCTGACACACTACCCCCTCCCTCCCTCACGCTGCCTGTATCGCCCAGCCTGCAACACTACCCCCCCCTCACGCTGTCTGTGTCACCCAGCCTGACACACTACCCCCCCCCCTCACGCTGCCTGTGTCGCCCAGCCTGACACACTACCCCCCCCCCTCACGCTGCCTGTGTCGCCCAGCCTGCAACACTACCCCCCTCCCTCACGCTGCCTGTGTCACCCAGCCTGACACACTACCCCCCCCTCACGTTGCCTGTGTCGCCCAGCCTGCAACACTCCCCCCCCCCTCACGCTGCCTGTGTCGCCCAGCCTGCAACACTACCCCCCTCCCTCACGCTGCCTGTGTCACCCAGCCTGACACACTACCCCCCCCTCACGCTGCCTGTGTCGCCCAGCCTGCAACACAACCCCCCCCCCCCCCGTCACGCTGCCCGTGGACACACCGCCATAGTGACTATTGGGCAGCGCCACTCATCCTGTGAGTGGACACACCGCCATAGTGACTATTGGGCAGCGTCACTCATCCTGTGAGTGGACACACCGCCATAGTGACAGTATTGGGCAGCGCCACTCATCCTGTGAGTGGACACACCGCCATAGTGACAGTATTGGGCAGCGCCACTCGTCCTGTGAGTGGACACACCGCCATAGTGACAGTATTGGGCAGCGCCACTCGTCCTGTGAGTGGACACACCGCCATAGTGATAGTATTGGGCAGCGCCACTCATCTTGTGAGTGGACACACCGCCATAGTGACAGTATTGGGCAGCGCCACTCATCCTGTGAGTGGACACACCGCCATAGTGACAGTATTGGGCAGCGCCACTCATCCTGTGAGTGGACACACCGCCATAGCAGCTTGTACAACACTCCCCAATAGGAAGAAAACCCGCTGGGTTGTTCATCCTGTCACTTGTACCCAGACACAGCTGGGACTTGCTTAAATGATGTTAAGTGACAACTTTATCAGACAAGAAGATTAATCTTTACAATCACCTAAAGAGTCCGTTATTTTGCCGGTGCAAAGTACGGGAAACTTTTAATAACTGACAAATAGTGTTTTCCTAACTCAAACAATGTGGGGTTTATTATTCTACACATATTCCTAATGTCTCTCAGGTGTTCACATTCACGTAGATAGTGGTGAAGGCGGTGTCCATCACTCTCACCACAGATGCTGCAACTTCGCTGATCAACAGTTGTTTCCATTCCATATCTCCATGGATATTTGTATCCAAGACGGATTCTTGCTATTACTGATTCTCTCCCTCGTCCTCCTCCTCTTCGGCCATATTGATTGGGATTGCCAGCTGCAACCATGTTGTACCATCGTACAGATTCACTGGTTTGTGCTTCTATCCTCCTTTCCTCAGTTACTGTGTCACGGTGATGTTGCCTGACAATACCTCTAATTTGTAGTTGAGTCTTGGGTATGAAGTATTCAATATGGTCTCCTTCAGCGCCTTCAGCAGCCAGCACATCTGCTCGTTCATTCCCACATATTCCAACATATTCTCAATTTGTGCCTTTTATTCATTTCTGTTTAGAAGAACATTATTCCTAATTATGTTGTATGCTGATCCAGCCCGGCCATTGGTAGGACTGGGTCACCCATCACTGCAGATTTAGTCTCTTTCATTTCCTGCTATTATTAATTTCATCGATATACTTGTCTCAGTTCCTGTGCATCATGCCCTTATCAGTTCCTGTGCATCATGCCCTCTTCCTTGGAGTGTGTGGAAGTGAAGGAGCAGAGATGTGCTGGCTGCTGCGGGCGCTGCACGACCCCACCGGTTTTTGAATACTTCATACATTGTATGAATATAATTGTATTTTGAATAACAATGAATAAACATTGTATGAATATAGACATTGAACACTTCATACCCAAGACTCTTCTTCAAGTCAGAGGAAAGGAGGAGGCCGGAAGAACAAATCAGTGAATCTGTAGGTAAGATTATCGCTCTCCCTTCCACTTTCACCAGGTTCCTTATATAAAATATATATATATTATCTTATATAATACTCTTATATGAGAGTTCCTTTATGATAGTTTCCTGTGTAATAGTTTCAAAGTACATTCTCGTGAATAAATGAGTCTCTAGGAGCAGGCTTCAGATGAGCTGAGGTTGGATAACAGCTCTTGCTTGCAGTTTCACTAGGTACGTCATTTGACAGCTCTTATAAACCCTAGTCTTAGTTTAAAAAATAAATAAAAGAGAGAGAGAGAGAGAGAGAGAGAGAGAAAGAAAGAGACAGAGACAGAGAGAGAGAGAGAGAGAGAGAGAGAGAGAGAGAGAGAGAGAGAGAGAGAGAGAGAGAGAGAGAGAGAGAGAGAGAGAGAGAGAGAGAGAGAGAGAGAGAGAGAGAGAGAGACAAACACACAAACACACACAGGCGTTGCAGGCTAGATCCTGCAAGCACAAATAGGTGAGTACAAATAGGTGAGTACACACAGACACACACAGAAAGAGAGTTGAGGATGCAGGGAAAACTTAGATTGCTTGACAAGAAAGACGAGAAGCAATTCACTCATGAAAGAGACTGTTCAAGATAAACAAACCAAGCCACGTGGTGAATGTTGGTAAACAAACCAAGCCACGTGGTGAATGTTGGTAAACAAACCAAGCCACGTGGTGAATGTTGGTAAACAAACCAAGCCACGTGGTGAATGTTGGTAAACAAACCAAGCCACGTTATCTTGAGGTTATCTTGAGAGGATTTCGGGGCTTTAGTGTCCCCGCGGCCCGGTCCTCGACCAGGCCTCCACCCCCAGGAAGCAGCCCGTGACAGCTGACTAACACCCAGGTACCTATTTTACTGCTAGGTAACAGGGGCATAGGGTGAAAGAAACTCTGCCCATTGTTTCTCGCCGGCGCCTGGGATCGAACCCAGGACCACAGGATCACAAGTCCAGCGTGCTGTCCACTCGGCCGACCGGCTCCACGTGGTGAATGTTGTTGAACAAACCAAGCCACGTGGTGAATGTTGGTAAACAAACTAAGCCACGTGGTGAATGTTGGTAAACAAACCAAGCCACGTGGTGAATGTTGGTAAACAAACCAAGCCACGTGGTGAATGTTGGTAAACAAACCAAGCCACGTGGTGAATGTTGGTAAACAAACCAAGCCACGTGGTGAATGTTGTTAAACAAACCAAGCCACGTGGTGAATGTTGTTAAACAAACCAAGCCACGTGGTGAATGTTGGTAAACAAACCAAGCCACGTGGTGAATGTTGGTAAACAAACCAAGCCACGTGGTGAATGTTGGTAAACAAACCAAGCCACGTGGTGAATGTTGTTAAACAAACCAAGCCACGTGGTGAATGTTGTTAAACAAACCAAGCCACGTGGTGAATGTTGGTAAACAAACCAAGCCACGTGGTGAATATTGACAAACAAACCAAGCCATTCTGGTCATAAACGATTCCAAAAATAGTATGAGGAAATGTTTAGCTCTTAGACTAATGCAAAAAACATTACATCAGATCGTTAAGAAAGGGGATACCTTGCAAGCTCACTTAAATTTAAGTGTGGGGAGGCAAGAGGTCCTCATTACTTCGCCTGTATTCTTAAATGAAAATAATTACGTTTCTTAGTCCCCGAGGTAGGAGAGGAGTACGAGGGTGAGTAGAGGGAGCGACGCGGCGCCTCTCTCCTCCGCTTCCTGTTTAAACAAGTATCCTGACGACACTGTTTCGCCCAGAATTCCCGTTTACACTCACGTGCCGGCAGTGATCTGCAGGGCACGGCGTCGCCGGCAGTGATCTGCAGGGCACGGCGTCGCCGGCAGTGATCTGCAGGGCACGGCGTCGCCGGCAGTGATCTGCAGGGCACGGCGTCGCCGGCAGTGGCCTGCAGGGCACGGCGTCGCTGGCAGTGGCCTGCAGGGCACGGCGTCGCTGGCAGTGGCCTGCAGGGCACGGCGTCGCCGGCAGTGGCCTGCAGGGCACGGCGTCGCTGGCAGTGGCCTGCAGGGCACGGCGTCGCTGGCAGTGACCTGCAGGGCACGGCGTCGCCGGCAGTGATCTGCAGGGCACGGCGTCGCCGGCAGTGATCTGCAGGGCACGGCGTCGCCGGCAGTGATCTGCAGGGCACGGCGTCGCCGGCAGTGGCCTGCAGGGCACGGCGTCGCTGGCAGTGGCCTGCAGGGCACGGCGTCGCTGGCAGTGACCTGCAGGGCACGGCGTCGCCGGCAGTGATCTGCAGGGCACGGCGTCGCCGGCAGTGACCTGCAGGGCACGGCGTCGCCGGCAGTGACCTGCAGGGCACGGCGTCGCCGGCAGTGACCTGCAGGGCACGGCGTCGCCGGCAGTGGCCTGCAGGGCACGGCGTCGCTGGCAGTGGCCTGCTGGGCACGGCGTCGCTGGCAGTGGCCTGCAGGGCACGGCGTCGCCGGCAGTGGCCTGCAGGGTACGGCGTCGCTGGCAGTGGCCTGAAGGGCACGGCGTCGCTGGCAGTGACCTGCAGGGCACGGCGTCGCCGGCAGTGATCTGCAGGGCACGGCGTCGCCGGCAGTGACCTGCAGGGCACGGCGTCGCCGGCAGTGGCCTGCAGGGCACGGCGTCGCCGGCAGTGATCTGCAGGGCACGGCGTCGCCGGCAGTGGCCTGCAGGGCACGGCGTCGCCGGCAGTGATCTGCAGGGCACGGCGTCGCTGGCAGTGACCTGCAGGGCACGGCGTCGCCGGCAGTGATCTGCAGGGCACGGCGTCGCCGGCAGTGACCTGCAGGGCACGGCGTCGCCGGCAGTGACCTGCAGGGCACGGCGTCGCTGGCAGTGGCCTGCAGGGCACGGCGTCGCTGGCAGTGACCTGCAGGGCACGGCGTCGCCGGCAGTGACCTGCAGGGCACGGCGTCGCCGGCAGTGACCTGCAGGGCACGGCGTCGCCGGCAGTGACCTGCAGGGCACGGCGTCGCCGGCAGTGACCTGCAGGGCACGGCGTCGCCGGCAGTGACCTGCAGGGCACGGCGTCGCACTACTGACACGTGGTGTTGGCACCAGTCATCTATGAACACATTGGACATATTTACACACCGATGAACGTGTTCCCATCTATTGTGCCTATTTCCTATGTGAATCTCATCTTGTACACAGGTCAGGTCGGGCTCCAGCTCCCTGGCCCCCTGACCTGCAGCAAGGTACACCCACCAACTGTTACCTTCAGGGTGGACACTGCTCCCCAGGTGAGTATGAGAGGTGTAAACACTAATCTCTCCCTCTCACTACACTAATCTTTCCCTCTCACTACACTAACCTCTCCCTCTCACTACACTAACCTCTCCCTCTCACTACACTAACCTCTCCCTCTCACTACACTAACCTCTCCCTCTCACTACACTAAGCTCTCCCTCTCACTACACTAACCTCTCCCTCTCACTACACTAACCTCTCCCTCTCACTACACTAACCTCTCCCTCTCACTACACTAACCTCTCCCTCTCACTACACAAACCTCTCCCTCTCACTACACTAACCTCTCCCTCTCACTACACTAACCTCTCCCTCTCACTACACTAACCTCTCCCTCTCACTACACTACCCTCCTCCTCCTCTCACTCCACCCTGCCCCTCCCTCTCACACCTCCCTGCCCCTCCCTCTCATTCCTCCCTGCCCCTCCCTCTCACTCCTCCCTGCCCCTCCCTCTCACTCCCCCCTACCCTCCCTCTCACTCCCCCCTACCCTCCCTCTCATTCCTCCCTGCCCCTCCCTCTCACTCCTCCCTGCCCCTCCCTCTCACTCCTCCCTGCCCCTCCCTCTCACTCCTCCCTGCCCCTCCCTCTCACTCCTCCCTGCCCCTCCCCCTCACTCCTCCCTTCCCCTCCCTCTCACTCCTCCCTTCCCCTCCCTCTCACTCCTCCCTTCCCCTCCCTCTCACTCCTCCCTGCCCCTCCCTCTCACTCCTCCCTTCCCCTCCCTCCATTCCTTAACCATAAACACTTGAGACATTAAAGTGCTTTAATCATTGCAGTTAATTGAATTGACCATAAAAAGTTAAGCGATAATTCTTCCACCAGTACTCACTCCTAACACATCCCCGGCCACTTAACACCTCCCCACACCCCCCCCCCCCTAACACCTCCACAACCGCCCTAACACATCAGGGATTAAATAATTGATTTTCGTTTCCACTACTGCAATTAATTCAGGGTCATTTTTCCTATTTCTTTTATTTCCTCTGCTTTGTTTGTAACTCCATCGTCATTTGTGTACCATACCGTAAGGCTCTTCTTGCACATATGGTTTCCATGATTCGTTGTATATTCCTGTCTATTGGTTTCTATACGTGTAGGTTGTAAGTGGGAGATGGGTGCAATATTGTGATGAGTAGTCATGAGGTAGTGGGAGTTTGGGAGTGAGGGAAGGGGTGAGAGGCAGAGAGGGACTGAGAGACAGATGGGGGTCTGCGAGGCAGAGATTGGCTGAGAGGCTATGAGTGGTTGTGTACTCACCTAGTTGTACTGTGTTGTGTTTGCGGGGGTTGAGCTCTGGCTCTTTGGTCCCACCTCTCAACTGTCTCAACAGGAGTGTGTGTGTGCGCACGTATCTGTGTGTATTCACCTATTTGTGCTTGCGGGGCTTGAGCTCTGCTCTTTCGGCCCGCCTCTCAACTGTCAATCAACTGTTACTATTATTATTTTATTTTCTCCCACACCCCCCTCTCCCCAGCAGCCCGTAACAGCTGACTAACTCCCAGGTACCTATTTACTGCTAGGTAACTGGAGCATTCAGGGTGAAAGAAATCTTACCCATTTATTTCTGCCATCACTGGGGATCAAACCCTGGACCACAGGATTACGTGTCCAGCATGCTGTCCACTCAGCCGCATGCGCACATGTGCACGTGTGTGTGTGTGTGTATGTGTGTATGTGTGTATGTGTGTATGTGTGTATGTGTGTATGTGTGTGTGTGTGTGTGTGTGTGTGTGTTCCCTGGAGCGTCGCCACCATGGTGCCTAGTTGCAATTTGGGGTACCGTCTCGGTGCCTTCATGTGATATAATCACTGAGTGTGTCATGCCTCTAACATGACCCCGGGTGCTGTACCCGGCGGTACCCGGGGTCTTTATCATTATCTATTTATATACCGTTCTTCCCTACCCTTCACCACCGTCCCTACCCTTCACCACCTTCCCTACCCTTCACCACCTTCCCTACCCTTCACCACCTTCCCTACCCTTCACCACCTTCCCTACCCTTCACCACCTTCCCTACCCTTCACCACCTTCCCTACCCTTCACCACCTTCCCTACCCTTCACCACCTTCCCTACCCTTCACCACCTTCCCTACTCTTCACCACCTTCTCTACCCTTCACCACCTTCCCTACCCTTCACCACCTTCCCTACTCTTCACCACCTTCCCTACCCTTCACCACCTTCCCTACCCTTCACCACCTTCCCTACCCTTCACCACCTTCCCTACCCTTCACCACCTTCCCTACCCTTCACCACCTTCCCTACCCTTCACCACCTTCCCTACCCTTCACCACCTTCTGTAACACCCATGACCCTCCCCCCCTAGAGTTCACACCCAGGGAAGCCTTCTCCAAGAGGTCAGTTCAGATGACCTCTGGATTATCTTGTATGTTGATTAAAAATTCCTGGGTTAGTCTTAGTCAGCTAGTTTCAAGTATGTAATATTTCATGATACTCTTGTCAAACATTGCAATGAAATCAGACCCCAGATTCTTATGTGTAAACATCCATGGATCTCCCCCTTTTAGCAAGGTCAGAGGTCAGCCATACTCGTAATTAATAATTCCTCTCTTGAACAGTGTATGGTAAATGTCAAACCAGCTTAATGATAAATTTCTTGAGTGTTTGTGCACCGTGTGGCCCTACCTCTTTCGGGGTAGGTAGCAACAGCAAATCTCCCCCTCCCCCTTTTTGGGGTGTATATATTGGTCCTGGAACAGACGTAGTGGAGACAGAGGGCCGGACACCAGGGTCCAGAGTGGGTCTGTGAGAACATCTCACAGCCAGGGAGGGACAGAGTGAATCCACCGGATGGAGAGACAGAGGTCTTAAGGTAAAGTGTGATCTCTGAGGTTTTGTTTCATGTCTAAATTTCTTAACTATTGGCCGGTGTTAGAGTAGCATTTATAGTGGTGATTAGCATAATTTTGTTCTCAATAAATTCGTGTTAAATTTTCCGTCTGTGTCAATTGTTGAATCCTCTTAGCCTTTTGGATATAGTGGCTGACAACCGTTTTCATAATTAATGACAGTCATAGAAAGTACTCTCCAAGTCAAGCAATGTTTCTTGCCTCGTTGCTTGATATAGTCTCAATGGTCAAAGGCAGATGGTGGCAGCGTAGTTAATCCTGTGTTAGCATTTCCTTGGAAGTGTACCTTTGGTTGCAGTTACTCAGGATATATATCGGTGTAACCATCATATGTCAGCTTATATTACAGTGTTACCAAGTGCAACCGATAGGAAGTGTTACTCTGTATAAGTCGTAGTGTTACATTATTTAGTTTATATTTTATAGTGGTGTTACACTTGCCTACCCTTCACCATCTTCCCTACCCTTCACCACCTTCCATCCTTACTTAACACCTAAGATGCCAGAATAATCTTATTGAGAATGGAATTTTTGTTTAGTTTGAGAGCCTGGAATATATGTAATTTGCCATTTCCTGCGAAGGGTATAGGGTGATTTGATGCTCAACCCTCACCACCCTATGTACTGCCTACACCCCAGACCGTTTACCCTGCAAAGTTTCGTGAGGTTAGCTCCAGGCGTCTAGCCCCTCAGCCCGTCCTTGAAAAGTTTCCCAACGTCAAGAAACTGTCGTACTAATGTGCCCTTTATCCTAACCTTCCAGAGAACCCAAAATAGAAAACATGACAGTATGTCAATTTCGTGAGCCGCTTCCGTTTTCTAGTACGACGATTTTTTACCTTAAGTAGAGAATGCGTCAAAATACGACGTTGTATTAGAAGGACGGGTTGGGTCACTTACCTGAACCGACAGACACACATTCTGTCTCTTAATTAAGTACAGATATACTCTATATTACAAACATTTAGCTCTGTATGAAGTTTTCCCCGTCGAAAAAAAAAAGAATGAACTGTGCTGTCAGAGGAAACTGCATCAAAACCTATTCAATATTATTTTAACCAGTGAAAGCAGAGAGGAATAGGCAGAGAGAAGCGAGCGCTCAGTCATTGTGGCGCAGCTTTTAAAAAAACCGTTGTTAAAGTTGTCGGAGTGAGGCAGCGGCGCAGCGCCACCCCCAGGACCACCACAGTGAGGCACCCGCCACTACCCACACCACCAACTACCACCCCATGAAAATTATCACACGTGAATATGACAATCTACGGCACTAACGTACACGTGTTAGCAACCTCACGGACCCCACATGCACAGGCAGGCAGGCAGGCACGCACGCACACACACACACGCACGCACGCACTCACGCACACACACACGAGCTTCAAAGTGATGCATACACACTAAATGGGATTGCAAATAAGTGAACTTGTAGAAAGGATACAAGAAGAAAACCCTGATGTAATAGCACTCACAGAAACAAAACTCTCAGGCATCATATCAATTGCAGTGTTTCCACAGGATTACTCTATAGTAAGGAAAGAGAGAGAGAAGAGGAGGAGAAGGAAAAGAGGAGGAGGAAAAATAGAAAAGCAAAAAGGGAATCCATGGTTCAGTGAGGCATGTAAGGCAGCAAGGCAGCTAAGGACAAGGGCATGTAAGGCAGCAAGGCAGCTAAGGACAAGAGCATGTAAGGCAGCAAGGCAGCTAAGGACAAGAGCATGTAAGGCAGCAAGGCAGCTAAGGACAAGAGCATGTAAGGCAGCAAGGCAGCTAAGGACAAGGGCATGTAAGGCAGCAAGGCAGCTAAGGACAAGAGCATGTAAGGCAGCAAGGCAGCTAAGGACAAGAGCATGTAAGGCAGCAAGGCAGCTAAGGACAAGGGCATGTAAGGCAGCAAGGCAGCTAAGGACAAGAGCATGTAAGGCAGCAAGGCAGCTAAGGACAAGAGCATGTAAGGCAGCAAG